CTTTGGGAAAGTCTGGTGGTTTCTCAAATAGTTATCCATAGTTACCATGTGATGCAGCACATCCTCTCCCAGATATACACTCAAGAGAAATGAAGACAGACATCTATGCAAAAACGTACACAGATGTCTATAGCAGATGTCTATTATTTATTCGTAATAGCTCAAACATACAAGCAACTCAAATGCTCATCAACTGATGAATGGATAAACAAAATGTCTATCCATGCAATGGAATATTGGCAATAAAAAGAAATAAAATACTGATAAATATTCCAACATGACGAACCTCAAAAACACTAAAGGAAAGAGACCAGTTGCAAAAGACCACATGTAGGAATCAATTTATATGAAATGTTCCAAATAGGCAAATCGATACTCCATAGAAACAGAAGGTGGACTCGTGGTTTCCCAGGGCCAGGAGAGGGGGAAGGGAGAGTGAGGAGGGAAATGGGTAAGGGAAATGAGCTTTGGGCTCATGATGAAATGTTCTGAAGTTGATTGTGATGATGGTTGCAAAACAATATACTAAAACCATTGTGCAATTTAAATAGACAAGTTATATATGAATTATATTTACAATAAAGCTGGTTTAAAAACAAAGAAACTGTGGAGACTTGTACCTATCCAAGCTCTTTTTAATATCTAAAATGTATGTAGTCTAACCTCGCTCCCACAGATGTACTGCCATCATTTTTTTATAGATTAGAAAACAAGTCCAGAGAAGTGAAATTTTCTCAAGATTGGAGATGAAATTTTGATTTATTAATCTAGTATGTATTACATTATGCCATGTCATGAAATTAGACTCAAATTTGGAATACTTTTGAATTTTTGTGCTTTTTCTCAAGTTGTAATTTTACAGATTTTTTTTAAATTCCACTAAAGATACATGAAACGCTTTGAATCAGGTTTCGCTTTTAGGATAGTGTCATGTGTGCAGAGCGCTTGCCATGTTAAGACCCCCTGGACCAGGAGAATCACAGATAAAGTCAGCCAGTCCTCTGCCTTCGGGGAACCCAGCTATCCTAATTGAACTGGTATATTTTTTAAAAATCAATGGTTATTTGCATAAGTGGTCTTTTTTAAGGTAACACTTTCATGTGGCTAATAAAAGAGTGAAATAGCACAGAAAAATACAGAGTAAAAAAGACAATTTTCTTTGTATTCTTAATGACCAGACTCCAGTTCCTGCATCTAGAGGCAAGCACAGTTCCTAATTTCTTGTAGATCCTTCCAGAGGTCCTCTTTACCAATATGTTATGTATCTTAGAAATTATTCTATATCATTAAAAGTATGGTCTGTCTCACTCTTTCATGGCTTCAGTGTCCCTGCGTGTTATTTTTGCACAGATGCCTGGAGATATGTAATAGATGTGAATGCCACGTTCCATTTTAACTTGATAAATGTACGTTATTTGATTCTCCGAGATCAAGTAAACTAAAGTCAGCTATGTTTAATTTTTAATATGTTTAATATGTGTAAATTTTTAAGATACTGCCACACTTTTTTCTAAAGGGGCAGAAACATTTCGTGTTCCCACCAGCAATATAGGGGAGTTTTTTTTAATTATGTTGAAACATCATCACCAAAACTCCATATCGTCAATCTTTTTTATTTTAGCCATTCTAGTAGATGTGTAAATAAAGCCATATCTCCTGTGGCTTTATTTCTGATAACTAGTGACATTGAGTGTATTGACTAATAATATCTTTTGTGAAATTCCCATTTTTTTTTTGCCAAATTTTTAATTGGATTGTCTTGTTGCAAAAGTGTGTTCTTTATTTTTTTCTAGATATCAGCTATTTGTCAAATACGTGTTTTGCAAGTATTTCGTTCCTGAGTCTGGCTTATCTTTTCATTTTAACTGTATCTTTCAAAGAGCAAAATATATTTAAATTTTGACGTCTATTAATTTTTGTTTTCAGTGGCTTCTTGAAGGGATTTTTGTTTAATCCAGTGTCCTGGGTATTTTTTCCTATGTTTCCTTCTAAAATTTTAATGTTTTTTACCTCAAATGTTTGAGTCTGTGATTCAAGTCAGATTTTGCATATGATGTGAGTAAGGACTGAGGAACATTTTTTTCCTATGCAGATATCCAGTAGTGTCACCACAATTTGTTGAAAAGACAGATCTTTTCCCTCATTGAATGACCTTGGCTCCTTTGTTGCAAATCAGTTGTGAGTCTGTTGCCGAATTCTATTCTTTCTATTGATCTATATATGTTTGTCGTTACTCTAATACCACACTGTCTTGATTATTAAGTCTTGATATCAGATAGTTTATCTTTGTTCACTGTCTATATTTTTCTGTCAAGGTCACCAAGGTGCCTTCACGTTACTAAAACACATAAACAATTTACAGTCTTTCTGCAGAATTTAGGACTATTGAACTTGCCTCTTTCTGAAAAGTTTCTGTTCTTTTCCATGTCAAGATTGCTTCTTGGTTTATCTCCTACCTCCTTGGCTGTAATTTTAAACTCCTCATAGACTTAAATATTCATTCTCTTTAAACACTTATGTCCCTTCAGTTCTCTTCTCTTTCTCTCTTCTCTCTTGCTAGATGTTTTCTACTCTCCTACTCCAAGTACTTATGTACTTACAAAGATGTAGATCTTTAGCCAGAGTTTTTCTCCCGTTCTATACACCTGCTTACTTAACCAATTCCCGACATCACTGGAGATAAAAGTATAGTAATAGAGATGGTAGAGGCTCAGCTACCTGGTACGTCTAACCCTGGATACACTTTCAAGCCTTGCTCAAACTGGTTCCTGGTTCTAAGTGAAGTAATTTTCTAGTGCACGTTCACTCATAGAGACATTTAATCAGGGTTAACGAAATAAGTATTATGTACATCAAATGCCAAGGGCTACCAGGAAATACAGAATAATATAAAACCCAATTGTTTCAAGGAATTACAAAAGCAAAGTAGGGAAACATGGCATATTTACATACGAGAATAAATTATACTGACTAGCAGAGTTAGTTATTAAATGAATGGAATAGGCAAGGAATACTACATGACACAGAGGAGGGAAGTTTTTTGTTGCTGTTGTTTTGGTAAATGATATTGGGGTTTTGAAGTATAGGCAGAAATTTGGCAGAATTGTAGCACTTTACAAACAGCACATGTCAGTGGATGAGGGAGTAGCTTGAAGTAACAACAGAATAAAAAGTGAGTCACCATGCTTAGGGAACAATGAATAATCCATTTCAATTGTGGAACCTTATTTGGAGCTCTGGTCTCCAGGGAACAAATTGCTGTACAGGCTAATGAATGGCCCGGAGCTGAAAAGTAATGAGGAATCGAGCAGAAAGCGGGCTAGAGTGTCTTAGGGCAAAGGGAAAAAGAAAAAGGATAAAGTGAAGCAGAGAAGCTGACCAAGATGCTAACGGACTCTGACCGTATACACCACATATAAAGGTTCATCGATTCACATGCAGTGAGAAGCAAAGCTGCATTTAACCTGATCATAGAGAAGGAGGAAGACACAAATTTAAAATCGCTGGGCAAGCCTTGAGTACCTACTCTATGCAAACTAGGTTCTTTACAAGTTTTTATCCTTTCAACAACTCTGTAAGGACTGTATTACAATATTTGAATATTCAGAAGGGAAAATAATCCTTACTAAAACATTCCTCCAGGAACCTACCTCCTTATGTGTTCACTTTGGGCACCTCCGCCTTGCCTGTGATAGTTTAGGACCATCCCATCCAAGTAAATACAATGCCTAGAGGTCTTCTTGAGATTTTATGATGTGGGAACAAAATTGGTTGAGAGTGATTGATCTGGATTAGTCTTGCTGTACAGCTAATATAGGCATAAGTGTATGGACTCTGATGTCAGCTTTCAGATCCTCCTCCTGAAGAATTTCTCCTCTTTCATTGTCCAAATTATACCAATCTTTTTTAAAGCATTGCGTGTTCTCGTTCCTCGCCTATCTGATCTATGATGTCATCTGTATGTAAACTTATCATAAGTTACTGCTTACCTATTTGCTCATCATCTCATCGACTTTCTTACTGAGGAGGCCTTGCTTCCCTCGCAAATACTCTGCCAAAGACCTACCTCTCTACCCATCAGCATCCTGCAGTCGGTTTGTTTCTGCTGGCTTCATGCTGCAGCCCTGCTCTGGCCTAACCACTCTGGGCTTTTATGATCAGTCTTAAGTATTTGTGGTTTTCTTCCAGATTTCAAAATGAGAAGGGCCCTACTTCTCTTGAGTAACATGAATCATGGCGGTCATGCCCATCGTCAAATTCTTTTCTACCCATTTTCTGTGTGACCTTGGGGACATTACCGACCTTTTCTGAGACTCATTTATTCAGATATTTATATAACATCTATTATGTGACAAGCATTGTCCTGGTCCTGGAGACACAATGGTGAATGGTACTCTATCAGGTTGTTTTAATATCGGTAAAGTGGCTGCCACCCTTGGCACATTATAGACACTCAGTAAAAATGGTACCTATGTCAGCTACCATCATTTGGAAGAACAAACTTTCAGATTTGGATTTAAGCTAAATGCAGCCAAACATGCCTCCTTGGGTAAAATTGTGGACATCATAACACTCTACCAGTGCGAGGGTGGGAGGGGTGTTTTCAGGAAAACGAAGCTCTTTGTCTCAGCATGATCAGAAAAAGATATGGCATTTGTGCTAAGATCCTAAAAGATATGGCATTTGTGCTAAGTTTATAATAATGGAAAAAGAGTAATGTGCTTGTTCGAATATAAATGGTAACTAGTACATTACTCACCCAGCCACCTATCATATTTATTGAACATCTACTTTGTGCAAGACTCCCATTCTCTTCTGTGTACAACAGCCAGTCGGAGGTCCACGGAATTTAAAATAATTTTGCTAAACCACTCAGTGGAAAAGGCTTAAGCCTGGACTGGAACTCAGGTCACCTAACTCCTTAGCACGGGAAATCCCCTATGTTTAT